TAACAGGTGGGATGGAGCAGGCTGTTCCCACGCTCAGGGGGCATTTGGGGAGGGGGATGGGGTTCCCCACCAAAGATGGTGGGAAGGAAAGGGGAGTGCCAGGCTGCAGCCCAGCTCCAGGCCCTCACCTGGGGGTGTTTACGGCAGAGTTGGAGCTCCCCAGCCCTGTTCCCACAGCCATGGGCAGGGCGGGAACTGCGAGTCACCTCCTCTCTGGGGAGCCAGGGTTAGGCAGGTGGTGCAGGAGGAGCCTGAGCTGTAGGTGCCGGGGCCCAACGCAGCCCTTCTCCCCATGCGGGGCTGAGAGGACAGTGGCCGTCTTTCTCCAGCCAGGGCTGAAACCCAAAAGCCATTGTCACCTCCATTGGAGCTGATTGTCATGGTTTAATTTCAGTCGGCAACTAAGCACCACGCAGCCGCTCGCTCACTCCCCCCCCACCCGGTAGGATGGGGGAGAGAATTGGAAGAGCACAAGTGAGAAAAACTCGTGGGTTGAGATAAAAACAGTTTAATAATTGAAATAAAATGATAATAATAATATGATAATAATAATAATACACAAAGCAAGTGATGCACAGTACAATTGCTCACCACCCGCCGACCGATGCCCAGCCAGTCCCCGAGCAGCGGCCCCCCCGGCCAGCTTTCCCCGGTTTATGTACTGAGCATGACGTCACATGGTATGGAATGTCCCTTTGGCCAGTTTGGCTGTGCCCCCTCCCAGCTTCTTGTGCACCTCCAGCCTTCTCAGTCAGTAGAGCATGGGAAGCTGAAAAGTCCTTGGCTGGTGTAAGCATTACCTAGCAACAACTAAAACATCGGTGCGTTATCAACTTTGTTCTCATCCTAAATCCAAAACACTGTACCAGCTACTAGAAAAGAAATTAACTCTATCCCTGCCGAAACCAGGACACTGATACATCCCACAAGAATGGGGATGGGGGCGAGGTACCATCAGTGGAGAGGGGCAGTCAGGGGGACCCAGCTCGGGTCCTCGAGCACCCGTTTTCTCCTAGTGCTGTTTCCTGGGCCTCCCTTTCCCTGCCCTCTCCTCCTGGCTGGGCTCGCCCCAGCCCCAGCCCCAGCCTGTTGCGGCAGTTCATGCTCAAGACCTTATTGCGGCTTTCCTCCCTCCTACACATCCCCATCCCCCAGCTCGGAACCTCTGGGGCCCTCCCCGACACATCTGCACCGGTCCCATTGGTGGAGAGCCACCGCCATGACTGCTGGGCTGGTTTGAAACGTGGAACCCCACGGGTGCTTCCTCCTCCAACAGTCACTGCTGCTGCTGCTTCAGCCTTGCCGCATGCACCATGCAGCCCCCTCACCTCCTCTTTCTCCCCCTCCTCCTCCCTGGGATGTGGGCAGACCCAGAGGGTAAGTGGGAGCCCTGGCTCACCCCAATTGCTCTGATCCCACTGTCAGAGGACCCCACAGGTTCTTCAGGGGAGGCACGGCCAGGCCACTGTCCCCTGCATGGCGGGGGATGATCCCCAGCACCAAAGGGCCACCCCCAACACGCAGCACCCAAAGGTGCCCTGTCCCTGCCCACCCTCTCTGTTCCTGCCTCCAGCTCAGGGCTTCATGCCCCACCGGCTCCAGCACAGGGGCTTGGGCACACCAGCAGAATTGGGGCCAGGGGTCCCCAGCCAGGCCTGGGATGTTGGGGTTCCCCCAAAGGTGCCTTCCTCCTCCAGGGAGCCCGTGGGCACCAGGGGCGGGTCTCAGCTCCATGTGCTGCCGTGGGCCCCTTCCAGCAGCCCCTTGTTCGTTGGGGAGCTGCACCTGCGAGAGGGTGTTTCGGGTGCTGCTGTCGCATAGAGCGTTTCACCACAAACCCGTGAGACCTCACGTTTCCAGGGGAGTGTGTGGGGGTGGGCAGCAGCAGACATTGGAACGTGGGATTGATCTCTGGGCTGGGCTACTCTTCTGACCCTGTCAGGGTTTGGTCTCCTTGAGCTCCCAACACCCGGGAGGCCCCAAACCTGGACGAAATGCCCTTTCCCCTCCTCCATCCTCCACATCCTCTGCGCCGTGTGCAGGTCTCTGGCAGATCCAGGTCCTGGCACAGGTGCTTCTTCTGGGGGAAGCATCGCCCCAAACAGGCACTGAGGTGCCCCCACCATCCGCTCTGCACAACCGGACAGCAGGCGCTGGGCAGGAGGGAGGCGGGGAGGGGAGGGGACGAGGTGCCTGAAATCCCGTACGGGAGAGAAATACTTTGTTGAAAGTAAAATAGAGAAGGAAAAAGAGCAGCAGGGGCGGAGGAAGTTCAGACAGGAAAGCAACCCTGAGCGGGCGAGGAGGTGGGAATCCAGCGAAGACATGGCTGGGGGGTTGCCCAGGCAGGGTCAGGTGCAGGCTGCTGGGGGTCCCATGGTGTGGGGTGAAGAGCATAGAAAATAGTTTGACCTGAAATCCCGTACGGGAGAGAAATACTTTGTTGAAAGTAAAATAGAGAAGGAAAAAGAGCAGCAGGGGCGGAGGAAGTTCAGACAGGAAAGCAACCCTGAGCGGGCGAGGAGGTGGGAATCCAGCGAAGACATGGCTGGGGGGTTGCCCAGGCAGGGTCAGGTGCAGGCTGCTGGGGGTCCCATGGTGTGGGGTGAAGAGCATAGAATCATAGAATAGTTTGAGTTGGAAGGGACCTCTAAAGGTCATCTAGTCCAACCCCCCTGCCGTGGGCAGGGACATCTTCAACTAGATCAGGTCGCTCAGAGCCCCGTCCAACCTGGCCTTGAGTGTTTCCAGGGATGGGGCATCCACCACCTCTCTGGGCAACCTGTGCCAGTGTTCCACCACCCTCATCACAAAAAATTCCTTCCTTTTATCTCGTCTGAATCCCCTGTTTCCCCTCCAGCGCCCCCACTCATCTCCTCTTTCCTGCAGCCCTTCCCATCCCCACCCTCTTTCCCAGCAGAGCCGCAGGTTTTCCAGCTGCTCCAGACCAGCTTCTTTGCCAACGTCACCTCTGCCGAGGTGTCCTTTGTGGCTCTCTTGGGGGACGTGCCCGTCTTTGCGCTGGATCCTGCCAGCTGGAACATCCACTTCCACTGGCCCTGGGCCCGCCAGGCCTCAGCCGAGGGTGATGTGGAGAAGCTCAAGTCCCACTCCAAACTCATTCTGCGCAATATGATCCGATATGTGCATGAAACAGCCCAGCAGGCACAACTGGACTGTGAGTACGGGGACAACCCCAGCCAGAGCCCCAGCCCCTTTCTCCGGGTTCCAGCTGTGCCCTCCTCCCCACCGGGGTGGCATTTGTGGGGTCTCTTAGGGTGCAACAGCTCCTGAAAGGGTAATGGGAAACGCTGTGGCTGACGGGGCACATGGCTAGCAGGGACGGGGAGGGCAGCGCACCAAAAACACCCCTCAGGGCTCCTGCCATCTGGCACGGGGGAACCCCTCTGCACACCAGGGAACTGCCACCAAATTTACCAGGGCTGCAGGACCCACACAGCACGGAGCAGGGAAAGAGAAAGTTGGGGGCAAATATTTTGGGGACAACATTCTGTTTGAGCAACCGCCCCACGCTAACTGGCCCCGTATCCACTCCGGCCTTCCAAGGGACTGAGGGCTTGCAGGGTGTCCCAGGGCTTCCTGAAGCATGGCCCCCTGCTGCCCATTGCACCCCGCTGCCCATCGCACCCCTGCACATGCCTCCAGCCACATCCCGCCTCATGCCACCCATGTCCCTTGGCAGACCCATTCGTGGTCCAGATCCGTGCGGGCTGTGTGCTGCACCCCAATAGGACAAGCTGGGGCTTCATGGATGTCGGGGTGGGCAGCAGAGACCTCATAGCTTTTGAGATGGAGAGGCAGCGCTGGGAGCCCCGGCAGCCATCCCCACTAGCAGAGCTCGTCAGCCAGTCCCTCAGCAGCAAGAAGGCCATCGCGGGGCTCCTGGAGCACCTCCTTTCCATCTCCTGCCAGAGCTACATCCTCACCCTGTGCAGGTACGGGAGGGCTGATCTGGAGAGACAAGGTGAGACCACCCCAACCCTGGCACAGCCACCCCAAAGCCCCACACACACTGGGGCCAAGCTGTGCCCCACCAGGGCTCCCCCCACCCCTTGGCTCTCGCCCCCCAGAGCCGCCCGTGGCCACGGTCTTTGCCCGCACACCCAGACCAGACCAGCTCCTGCTGGTTTGCCGCGTCACCGGCTTCTACCCACGGCCCATCAGCGTGGCCTGGCTGCGGGATGGCCAGGAGGTGCCGCCGGGCCCAGCGCTCAACACCAGCACCATCCTGCCCAACGCCGACCTCACCTACCAGCTCCGCAGCGTCCTGGCCGTGGCCTCCTATGACGGGCACAGCTACACCTGCCGCGTGCGCCACCGCAGCCTGGGCACCCGCAGCCTCCTCATCCCATGGGGTAGGTGCCCATGAGCATGGGGCACAGGGTGCAGGTAGCAGCCACTGGCCCTGCAAGGGGCAGCTCCTGCCTGGTGCTGCCACAATCACATGGCCGCCCTTTTCTCTCCCTGTCCCAGAAAACCGCAGCACAGCTCCAACCGCTGGCATCGCCATTGCAGTGCTGCTCCTTGTGGCCGCAGCCTCTGCCGGGGGGTTTTGGTGGTGGAAGCGCAGGTGAGGCCTCCCTCCTACCATCTGCTCTCAGGTTTATGGGCAGATGGGTCGGGCCAGGGGTTGCAGCAGCAGCAGCTCTGCAAGGATGAACTTCCCGGCCCCGAGTGCAGCTCACGGTGGCCCCACCTTGCAGGAAAGGTGATGAGGCCACATGGGAGACCCGGGAATTCATCATTTGAGGCCTGGCTGCCCGGCCAGCAACGAGCTCCCTCGCCGCCAGCTCTTCCTGCTCATCTCATCTCCTATCCCTGACCCGTCAGCACCGACAGGGATTTGCTCTGGAAAACCACTGCATTAAACAGCGACAAACTTCCCCAGCTGCACGTGGCTCCTGTGGCTCTCACCCTCCTTCCCCCTCACGACAGGAAACCCCCCAGCATGCTGCAGAAACCCCACATTGTGGCCAGGAAGACTCTCCCTTTTCCTGGACACTGGCCAATCTCCCCTGGCACGTCAGGAGAAGCAATTCCTCCGCCAACCTCTCCCACATCTTGGCGTCTCCGTGGCCAGCGTCTGTCCCTGGCAGAAGGGCACTGACAACCTGGGGCCAGACCAGCATGGGGCCACTGAGTGGGATGGGGGACAGAGCAGGCCACAAACCAGGGAGAGATGGAGGGGATTTGAGCTGTTTCGCTGGGGAGAGAAGGGGAAGGGCGGACCCAAGTGACATCTCCAATCCCCTGAGGCGGGGAGGCGTTTCGAACAGGTGCGAAGCCGCTCCAGCTCCATCTCACCCCCGGTCCAGGATGGTTTGGGGTCGGGATCTCCTCCACTCCTGACTCCTGCCCCCATGCCTGACTCCTGCCCCTGCAAAAGCTGGAGGGATGGGGGACAGTCACCCTCCCAATATGCCTGACAGCCATGAAAGAGCCACGCTGAGGCTCTGGGGGACTCTGTCTTTGAGCGACATGCCCCCAAGAAGAGTGACATGGTGGGTTGACCCTGGCTGGATGTCAGGTGCCCACCAAGCCACACTACCACTCCCCCTCCTCAACTGGACAAGGGGGAGAAAACACGACAAAAGCCTCGTTGGTCAAGATAAGGACAGGGAGCAATTACCGCCACGTGCAAAACAGACTCAGCTTGGGGAAATTAATTTAATTTATTGCCAGTCAAAATCAGAGTAGGATAACGAGAAATAAGAACAAATCGAAAACCACCTTCCTCCCACCCCTCCCTTCTTCCCGGGCTCAACTTCACTCTTGACTTCTCTACCTCCTCCTCCCAAGCGGCACAGTGGGACGGGGAATGGGGATTGCCGTCAGTTTATTATGCATTGTCTCTGTCGCTCCTTTCTCCTCACCCTGCTCCAGCGTGGGGTCCCACCCACAGGAGACAGTCCTTCATGAACTTTTCCAGCATAAGTCCTTCCCATGGCCTGCAGTTCTTCACAAACTGCTCCAGCATGGGGACTTTCCACAGGGTGCAGTCCTTCAGGAACGGACTGCTCCACCACGCGTCCCCTGCGGGGTCACAAATCCTGCCAGGAGCCTGCTCCAGCGTGGGCTCTCTGCAGGGTCACAGCCTCCTTCAGGCACATCCACCTGCTCTGCCGTGGGGTCCTCCATGGGCTGCGGGTAGATATATTCACCACAGGCTGCACGGGTACCATCGCTGCTCCAGTGCCTGGAGCATCTCCTCCTCCTCCTTCACTGACTTTGCTGTCTCCATAGCTGTTTCTCTCACGTATTCTCACTTCTCTCTCCCAGCTGCTGTTGTGCAGCAGTTTTTACCCCTTCTTAAATATGTTATCACAGGGGCACTACCAACATTGCTGATTGGCTCAGCCTTGGCCAGCAGCAAGTCTGTCTTGGAGCCGGCTGGAACTGGCTCTGTCGGACATGGGGGAAGCTTCTGGCATCTTCTCACAGAAGCCACCCTTGCAGGCCTCCTGCTACCAAAACCTTGCCACGTAAACCCAATACTCTCTGCCAGGGGTCTACAGAGTAAACCCCTGGGGGTTACCACGGGAGGAGGTGAAGGCCACCACGGGCCGGGCTCAGCCTACATCTCCTTGCGTGTTAGGGTGCTGCTGCAACCAGGAGGGATGACTTTGCACCCACCCAAATTCCTCTGGTACTCACAGCCGCCAGCCAGAGCACCCCAGCCCGGCCCTCTGCCAGCCACACCACCTCCCCCTGGGGAACACATCCGGACAGGCCCTCCCCAAAACCTCAGCACCAGCCTCATTGGCTGCCGGGGCCACCCCATGACACTGGTACCACCAGAGCTGCCCAGGCAGAGCAGCCCTGGGGAGAAGTGTGCAGTCACGGCTCCTGAGGCCCCTTCCTCCTCCTGCTGCACTTGCTCCTTCACACTTGCCACTGGCACCATGCAGCCCCCTCGCCTCCTCCTTCCTCTTCCTAGAAGTGTGCAGTCACGGCTCCTGAGGCCCCTTCCTCCTCCTGCTGCACTTGCTCCTTCACACTTGCCACTGGCACCATGCAGCCCCCTCGCCTCCTCCTCCTCCTCTTCCTTCTTCTCCTCCTCCCTGGGACGTGGGCAGATCCAGAGGGTAAGTGGAAGCCCTGGCTCACCCTACCCTGCTCCCATCCCTGCACTGCGGGACCCCACAGAGGTGGCAGGGGGTGGGCACAGACAGCGCCACTGTCCCCATCACCAAGGGCCCCCCCCCCCCAGCACCCAAAGGTGCCCCATCCCTGCCCACCTGCTCAGGGTTCCCTGCCCCACACCATCCTGCCCAGTCCAGCACCACTGGCACTGGGGTTCAGGCGCCTGAGCAGCCAAGGGGCAAGGGGTCCCTCAGCCAGGCCTGGGGTGCTGGGGTGCCCCCAAAGATGCCTTCCTCCTGCAGGGAGCCTGTGGGCAGCAGGGGTTCTCAGCCCCTCACGGCACAACAGCCCTGCACTGGGCTCCAACCCCTTGAGCAGGTCCTGGGCACCGCCCTCAGCCTGCGGGGTCATTTCTCTTGCAATCGAAGGGTTCCTGGATCCTCTGCATTCTCCCCCTGTGAAACAACGCTCAAAGGTTCCTCCTGCAGCTACAACAAGCCTTCCACCTGCCTCTCCAGCCTCTGTTTCCCATTCCAGGGGCAGGCGCTCACCACGCCCTGGCCAGGGGGGCACCCACTGCCCCAAAACAGGCTTCACTCTGCCCTGCTTACTACCGGAGCCTCATTCAGCACTGCAGCATCTAACTCAGTCTCCTGCCTCCTCTTCAGTCTCGAGCATTGCCCGGGAGCCCCTAAACTGGGGCGAGATGCCCCTCCCTCCCAGCCCCCCCAGCCCCTGCACTGTGTACAGGTCTCCAGTGGATCCAGGTCTGGCACGGGTGCTGCTTGCCGGGGGAAGCATCACCCCAAAACAGCACCAAGGTCCCCCCTGTCATCCCTTCCACACGGCAAAGTGACAGCTCCCAGAAAGTCACATTGGGGCGGTGGATGGCTAAAAAGAGGAAAAGAGAGGAGAAGCATGGAGAGGCTCAGAAAGGCCATGGAAGGAAACTGCAAACTGAGTGAAACCGGGGGACTTCCCCCACCCTGCCTGTCTGCCCCATCTTGCCCTGCCTGTCCCCAGGGACACTGCAAGCCACCCTTCCTCTCGGGGCCGCCCACCAGCACTGGAGCTGGCAGTCCCCCAACATCCTCCTTCATCCTCATGCACCCCAATGCCGCTTCCTCTCCCCACTTTCCCCACAGGCTCTTGGAAACTCCACCTTTTTCGAACCACTGTCTTCCATAACACCAGCTCTGTGGATGTGTCGGGCTGGGCCACCCTGGAGGACATTGTCTTTGTTAAGCTGCAGAAATACACCTGGAACATCCTCTACCTCCAGCCATGGGTCTACCCGTCCCTGCCTGCAGCAGAGTGGGAGAACCTGCAAAACCTGTTCAGGGCCTATGTGCAGGACTTCAACCTGTACCTGTCCAATGATGCCAGGCTGTACCAGACATCCTGTGAGTATCAGGTGCTCAGCACCTCCTCACCCAAGGCAGGGAGCTGTGAGAAGGGGCTCAGAGCAGTATCAGGTGCTCAGCACCTCCTCACCCAAGGCTGTGAGAAAAAGCTCAGAGCCACCACCAACAGCTTTTCCAAACTGGGGCTGGCAGGAGGGTAGGGAATGGGCCTCATCCTGTACCAGCAAGACCCCCAAACCACCATGTCCTGTGCGGAGGTGACATGGGTCCATCCTGGTCCCCAGCACAAAACTTGGCTGCGTTCAGCTCCACTTACGCCCTCACACCAGCCCCTGCTATTGCTCTCCAGGCACCCCAAATCCCACCAGAGAAGTCGTCTGAGAAAGGAGTAGAAGGCCAAAGGGGCCTCTCTGCTCATGCCTGTGGGACAGGACACATGGATCCAGCGCCTGGCCCCACACGCTGGTGCAGCGCTGGTTAACCAAGGGCAGGGCGCCGGGCAGAGTGCCACCATCCTCCTACTTGCCCGCACTCCATGTCCCATCACTCCCCCAAAGCAGTGCTTTCTGCTTTGCCACGGCTCTCGACCCTGCTGTGGGCAGGGGCAGCTCGAGGACGACGAGCTATAGGGTTCAGGACAGGTTTCTCACCCGCAGGGCTTCCACCTGGTGTAAAGCAGAGCAGCAACGTGGGGGGAATAGAATAGAATAGAAGAGAATAGAATAGAACAGAACAGAACAGAACAGAACAGAACATTTCAGTTGGAAGGGACCTAATGATCATCTCTTCCATGTACCATAGAATAGAATAGAACACAACAGAACAGAACAGAACATTTCAGTTGGAAGGGACCTACAATGATCATCTAGTCCAACTGCCTGACCAATTTAGGGCTGACCAAAAGGTAAAGCAAATTATTAAGGCAAAATTATTAAAGCAAATTATTAATATAATAGATATTATATAATTATTAATTATTGTTATTCTCAGTAGCACCCAGAATTATCTTCTCCATAATTTTTCCAGGTACTGAGGTTAGACTAACAGGTCTGTAGTTTCCTGCGTCTTCCCTCACACCCTTCTTGTCAATTGGAATAACGTTGGCCAGCTTCCAGTCAGCAGGGACCTCCCCAGACTCCCAAGACCTTTGGTAGATGATAGAGAG